CTAGCGTTATCACTGACCGCACTTCACAGTCGGCGGGAGCTGGAATAAGAACCTCCATCTTCAACAGCTGCAACGATGCTAATGTGAGAACGCGGGAAGTACCGTTAGTGCATGCGCCATGCTACGTCATTGCTCTATCACGTACGCACAGTCGCTTCGCGCAATATAAGGTTTGCTAGCTGTGGGGCGAGTGGGAAACTTACTTTTGGGACGCGCCTCGTAAATACGTATGTTTTTAGTCTGAGAACATTGTATTAAAACAGAGAGTGAAGAAATTAGGTACTTGAGGGATATATAAGCCTACTTATCTGCGTTTACTAATGTCTAGGGCCACACAATAATTATTGTTATAAAATTAATGGTAAAACAATTTTCACTTAAAGAAATTTTTTTTAAAGAATTCAATCCTTGTAACGAAATTGAAATAATGAGTTCATCTGGAGCCCTTGTCCTTTCAGTTCAGTGATTAAACTACCTCGCCCTGAAACTTCGCAAATGCACTCCACTGATAGGTCCAGTTCTCATTAAAGCCCCGTCATAAAACGCGAAATTTGTTTCTGCCTTTAATTATAAATAGTCACTGTTTACTGGACTATAATTAGTAACTGCAAAGCCCCCGAGGGTCGAAATAATTGGATAGAATTTTCATCACACAAATTGCTGTAATAACAAATTTTAGTTTATCACTTTTCATCGCAAGGGATGTGGAGGCAAACTCCATGCATTCTTAACCTGGGCACCAGATTGACCCACCCCCCCCCCCCGCCCCCCCCCCCCCCCCCCCCCTGTACCTATCACAGAGAACGCAGCTGCCATGTCGTAGTGACCCTACTCACTTTCTGCTATCAACTATTAATAATAGTTTGGTAAGTATCTGTACCACTAACTCTCCATAATGCCACAGAGTGTATTTATGTGTTATGTAAGAGTTTTAGGTAACGCAGTTAATTCCTTAAATAACATCAACAAAACTACCTTTGTAAATGGATATACGCTGGGGTTTTCTCTGAGGTAAGGGCTGAATTTTTATACATTATTAAGATGAGTTTCGGCAAACAAACAAAAATGAGATCGGCTTCGACTTCAGTTTTTAAATTTACTGCTGTTATTAGCCAGAATTTACGGCACGAACAATTAATCTGTTTATTTACTAACAGAGTGCTCGAGATGTTACAGCTCATAAATGCTTGGCGTAATTTTTCTGTCTTCCTTAGTTACCAAAATTCACCGGGACTCGAACCCAGAAACTATCCTAGTTCTCGCGATGGTCTAAGTCTTTCCAGTGACAGAACGCTGGAATAGATAACGACAGTCCCTTAACAGCGTTACCATGGCAACGGCTATTATTTTTTTAAGATGACGGTTTATTTAACGACGTTACCAATAGCTTATGAAAAAAGTATTGAATGATCGGGTGATTAATCACCAATTAACTGGAAAGGTTGTTGAAGGAAAGGTAAATCTGCAAGGGGTTCGGCACTCAATGGTCGCTCAGGCAGTGAACTGTGCAGTTTGCGTGACGAAGTCGTCCCTTTATCGGTATAACGGGAGAACGAAACATATTAACTCCGTCCGTCACTCTCGGAGCATCTGTTCACCTCAAAATGAACGCTCACGGGGTACAAACATCGGACTGACAGAGACTCGCTGACGAAAGATTAGAATTCTCGTTTCGTCCACGGTTCGAACATCGGAACGGTGATTTTCCTCAGTCCTTCCGGAAAATTATTCTGGAACAACCTTAAAAGAGGCCAGGCTCATTTCCATACATATAATTTCATATTCATTATTAATTAATATCATAATTCGACATTTATATTCTAAGATAGTGTAATTGCGTCATATTGTGAATATTATATCAATTATTTATTTTAATCCGTCTGATCACAATATTTAAAATTTCTTATAATTAAGATAATAAAATATCATTCATGTTCCATATCGATTGATCGATTTACATTTCGGAACATTTACACAACATGTTTCGGTTTTTATAAAACCATCATCAGGTGTAAAATATATCTAAGAACTTAAAACTCAATTATGATTTCTGTAGTTTTTTTGGTGATGTTTCATTACGTTTGTTTTTCCATTTTTGGGCGAAGGTGTTGTTTTTCTTAAATGTTATTAGATGTACATATCGGCCTGTAAGTAAATGATTGAAAGAAACACTAAAGAATTTGAAGGAATTTATAAAAGAATTTAGAGAATAAAATGCAAAATATATAAATTATAGTTAGAAAGTATCAATAAAATAGAAATAAAAATAAAACATACCAAAGATGTAGGAGTGAGTGTCCCGATATGTCCAGAAGTACTAGTGTCTTCCTGATGATGGTTTTATAAAAACCGAAACATGTTGTGTAAATGTTCCGAAATGTAAATCGATCAATCGATATGGAACATGAATGATATTTTATTATCTTAATTATAAGAAATTTTAAATATTGTGATCAGACGGATTAAAATAAATAATTGTTAATTTATATTCTAATGTCCTGACCGCGTCATTAAAAAGGTCCAATTCATTATTTGTTACAATCCTTTGATTCTACAGTATATTATTAACGGTGTTCAAAAGCGTAATTAATTCATCAGCAATTTGGTCAGGGGGAGTAGCCCATCGGATGGACTCTATCTTCGCATGACTGAACACTAACCAAAGGGCCCCGAGTGTTGTCCACGACCTGTTCTTAATCCGTTTTCATGAATTTATCACTAAATTTGTATCTTATATGCGTCATGTTTGTGTTTGTTTAAATATATTTATTTTGTACAGTCTATACACAAACGTTTGAAGTTTATTGGTGTTGTAAAAAATTATATAATATTAAAACATTTTGTTGTGTAAAATATTATATTAGCAACTTACCATGAAAATGGAAAGCTACAAACAGAACTACGGATCATTATAATATATTGCATTAAATATCTAATAGTTTTTAAAATATTTTAAATTGATAAAAACTTGAAGACGACGGTATTACCCGTCGAAACATGTCGTTTTAATAAAAAGCCCTAAAAAATATAATGTAAAATCGTATTTACGATTAAGAGCGCTAATATAATATTTTACACAATAAAATGTTTTAATATTACATAATTTTTACAACACCAATAAACTTCAAACGTTTGTGTATAGACTGTACAAAATAAATATATTTTATCACTAAAATTCAACAGACATTCGACGATACATTAGTTACTCAGTTGATAAAGCGTTATTAAGCGATGAAATAACACGTAGAAACGTGGAGAAACATGGACTGGGCGTAATTATAAGCTGCTTTCGAAGACGCTGGGGTCGGTGACAGTTTCAAATGTACAAAGTTATTTTATTTCTTATGGAAAATAGAACTTGGGCTGATAAAACGCGGTTGTTTGCCCGCACTGACCGCGCTGGGGTATGAAGAGGCACCGAGCCAGAAGCTGACTGCTCCAACGGACCGCTGGATGTCATGCATCATTAAAAGTAGTTATCTGCTTTGCTAACTCGCTGCAGCATCGAGCTAAAAGCAAATGTAAGCTTTACGCTCCGCTAAGCCCCCCTGTTGCTCCGATGGTCACTTTAGGGGTGGCTGAAATTGAAGTTGCTTCTTGTCTGAAAGGTTCAACAGCTACACTAAAAATTGTCATGAAAATTTAATTGTTACCCACGTCAACTCAAAATAACAGCAAATTTACATGAATCTCAAAATAAATTTAGCGTTTTTATAGACACCTCGGACGAGAATTTTCGCCTTATGTTCGTTCATGTGGTAACAGGTTCAGGAAATTCCAACTTGCATTTCCTTCACGCAATTCGCAGGTAATTTCTCTCACAATAGCTGAGCTCCTTTATTGTAATAGACTTCTTATTTGTTTTCTCCTTTACATTTATCTACCACTATTAACATGACACAATGTTTAAATATAGAATAAATTATATATGAGTATAAAATCGACATGAAACATTTTGACGTATCTAATATTTAACACAATGGAAAGAAATTTGTTCACGTCTCTACAAAGTGTAGGTCTAGTTCTGAAATGTCGACTGTATCTCCCTTCAAATAAACAAAAAAAACTCGACAAGGACTGCAAAACAAAATACACAATTGCAATTCTCCTGTGGACCTGCATTTAAACATAATAACTAATTGTCAAACCTTTGATAAGACTACCAATTCATCAGCACCATGATCAGTGGATGCCAACGTTTCGGAGAAACATACTATTTACACCTTAAGCCCTGAAGATGGAGATACTATGTTCCTCCAAAATGCTGGAATCTGCCAAAGAGTCTACACGTCTCAAAAACCCAGAAAAATGTCGTTTTAACCTCAAATTACACAGAGATTTCCTGACAAAGAACTCAAATCATGTATAAAAGTGGGATGTATCCTAAGCCACTTCAATAAATTTTACGTAGTCTAAATTTAATTTATTCCACTTTAATATTATTCTCCGAAAAATCTAGATCTCGTGATTCCTTCAACTGAACTTCAAATAAAATCTTTTATTCCTTTCCTGAGTGACGCTGCATGCTACATTCTCCACTAATCTTATCCTTTTTCAGAGTAAAGTGTTCGGAAATTCAAAACAAGATCTAAGTACTTCATTACTGTAAAGTGTTCCACTCGCAATTCGTCTTCAGTGAAACAGATCACAAATTTCACAAATACAGAAATAAACTAATTTTATGGACACTTTCCTTCAGTTAGGCTATATTTAGTGTGTAATTCGAACACACACACACAACGCTAAAAAAAAACTTTCAATTATGTGGCACGTCTAAAATCGAATTTGTAAAACACGTAGTCTAGAATTTTACTATGCCATTAACGAGCAGTATATAATTTAGTTCAAAAGAAGAGGCGACTTCACGAACAATCATTGCGGCACGTCGAAGCTCCTGGCATGAAAGTGAGTGCCCAGGGCTCCCTACTCGCTCCAACTGTGCCACAGAAGACTGGACAATAGCGCGGAAGAATTAATTTAATACGACACGAAATGTCATTTGAATCCCGTATTGAGGCGAGAGTCCGCGCTCTGCGATAACATTAATAGTAAAAATAAAATACATCATTACGAACTGCCCGATGGGAGGATAACGCGGTTCAGACCCACTGGAATAGAGGACGTGTACCAATGAACGTTTTATCTGTTACCGCTTAATTTAGCAAAGCGTTTGCGACAATTTGGTTCTAAATTAACTAACTGCGGGTATTACACCACTAGCGAATAATACTCTGTAGTGTCTTGTTGCAGTGTTCAAGATGTCCACCGCCACAGCCACAAAGCTGATGTTCGCGATGCTACTCGCCATGATGACCCTCAGCTGTGCCGTGGGCAAGACGTTGGATCAGCCAGGCGAAAAGGACCGCCTCATCAGTGAATTGGATGTGAGTCCTTAACAGCGAACAGAGTACAGAGACCTCGGCAGGTCCCGCGAACTGGTGCATGCAATTAATATATCTTATTCAGTTTATCAGTCAGAAGCCCAAACGTTCTCTTAACGAGCATCGCACATGAAGAGTTACTTCTGCCTAAATTTCTTAATAATATCCATTACGATCAGCGTGCGTATAGACATCAACAATTAAGTTTGCGCTTTATTATTTATTTATTTATTTAGTGTTCTGTCTGACGACAGGTCCATATGAACAGGATCCTTCCATCCTTTTCTCGGACTGGGACCTGTTCATATACGTTCTTGGCAGATGATCCAGAAGCGGTTTGCCATTGCCTTCTTCTGTGTGTAAATGGAGTAATTGTTGGGATGCCACAGAGAAACCGGGGAAGCCCCCGGAGGAAAACTCCGTGTTGCCTAGACCACCTCATCTTATTATTATTTAGTGTTCTGTCTGACGACAGGTCCATGTTCCCCCTCCCCCCCCCCCCCCCCCCAAGGTATGACGTTGGCGAAACGCACGGTTGGGTACCGACTACTGTACATTTGTTTTTAACTGTATACTTGTGTCGATGGTAAAACTTGGTGTGGTGTTTTTACAACAGCAAGTGTCCTGAAATTTTTTTATTTTAATTTTTAGTGTTCTGTCTGACGACAGGTCCGTATGAACAGGATCCTTCCATCCTTTTCTCGGATTGGGACCTGTTCATATACGTTCTTGGCGGATGATCCAGAAGTGGTTTGCCATTGTCTTCTTCTGTGTGTGAATGGAGTCATTGTTGGGATGCCACGGAGGAAAACTCCGTGTTGCCTAGACCACGGCCTTGCCCAACACAAGTTATAAATTCGGGCACCGCCGGGAATCGAACCCGAGACCCCAGGATTACAAGGCCAGCCTTCTAACCGCTGGACCACCGTGGCGTTTTTATTAATTATGTTAATTTAATGTATAAGAAAGAGAAAATGGTCCGATATTAAAATTCTCTGTACGCCAGCTGTTAATCTGCGGTTCAATGACGGTGTTAGGTTCATGCATCCTACCAGGTCGTTACAGCTTTAATTATTTAGATACAAATGAAAAATGATAATATAAAAGTCAGGCAAACAATTACTGGCTCGTGTTTTACTTGTCAAGAAATTATATATACAAATTACATTGAAATCAGAAAACAAAACACGATATGGAGAGCGCACCAAAGTGTAACGGATTTCGTCCAAACTATCGTCACTTAACACGGAAGGTAGACCGAAATGGTTTTTGTCCCACACGCTAGTTGAAACAGTTTACCAAAATAGTCGGGAAATGTATCACTAAACCCGTTCTGGCAAGTTAATTACGAACGAGATGCCAGGTAGCGTTCAAAAATGAACACTCGTTGCATTTGTGAAAAAGACAACTGACGGTCTGGCGTGAGCAGGTTATAACATCACGTGACCTGCGAGGGATCTTGTGTAGTCACATCGACAATGTGTTTATCGATACAATCCAATTGTATCGAATTGCAACAATCGATAAATATTTTAACATTTTCTGCGTGATAATTCGATCATCTGTTCTGGCCGGTCATCGCGTTTGGCCTACAACACCAGGCGATGTTGTATGAACATCTCTATGGAACTATGGAGTTCTTTTATCTTGGACAGACAGAGACGCTGATAGTTGCTACTAAATTCTCCTCAGCTGGAATAGCGAATTAAAAGTCTCGAAGCCCGACTCCGCTCGGTATTAATCGCATCATGTTCCTATGACAAGGTGGGCCGTGGTCTATTCAGACAGACTTTATATTAAAACGAATTTAATCCGATGAACTTCGCTGGTCTAAAGCTCAAATATCCCCACTATTTCACATTCGAGGAAATTAACTTGAGCTTAATTTCGCTGGTCACAGATACATTATACTACATGAATGTATACTCCATTCAATTTTAAAATATTTCCGAAATATACATTAGATGTAAATGTGTGTTTTAGTACAGAGCATTTTTCATACGACCTCAAGTTTTTGCAGCAAAATGTCTGAAATAAAATTGTCTCGGGTTATCAGCAGAATTAATTCGGTCAGGAATTTCCGAAACAGCACATTCAAATTTTATCAAATGAACCACCTAACCTTTATCGTTTCACAAATTCTTGCCCGAACACGTGCTTGTGAGATATTAAAAATTGCAGAAGATGTTTAAAAAAAGATTCACAGAGCAAGTAATAATTCGAAGCCAATAAAACCAATGAATACAATCCCCCGAATTCAATTAAAAATTTTTTTATAGCTGCAATGGAATCTTCGTGCCGGTCCACACATTCATGATCATTAAGCAAGGTTACATTTTATCACTTGCCAGCGGTTGGCAACCTTTTTTTTTCATTATCGTGGTTCGGATTGGCTGTTCATATCTTTGTGGAGGGCTGCAGACAGGAACAATACCATGGACAGTAAACTTCACTTCTCTCACTTAAAATATTATTATGCCAGCTACTAACTTGAAACAGCTACATTTCTATGGAGTAATATAGATTTAACAGAGTTTTAATTTCAAGTCACTGTTAATTTTATAAAACTCGATTTATTAATATTACAGTCATTTTATATTTTATTCTTTCAAATGTCCACAACAGCGGAGCAATGTACATTTGAGCAATAACGCGATTCTAATGTCTTTTGTTTTTTGTTGTTTTTGCCCTCTGTTTGTCTGTTCACGAACTATCTCTCCGGAGGAATTGTGCAAATTTCACTCAGTGTTTACAGGCCTATCCTTCGCATATGTAGTTAACTTCATGAAGCAGAATAATTATTGAGACGCGAACAGTTTGTCAAGAAATGTAATCTGAGAATTCATAAAGATGTTCACAACAGATCGTCACTGAATCCTTCCATAAGCCAGAGAACGCAGAACACATGGCAATACCGAGAATAATTAAAATGCATTTTGACGTTACCCTCTCAGATTTGCTCAGATATCATTCATGCTACATTCCCTCCAATCTCATTCTGACTAAAAAAACATGGATTTTTTTTACAAATATGTTGTAAAGACACGGTTGAAATGAAATGAGATCAGGATATAGAACAATTAGGGACTTGGTGAACACGATAGGTCCCAATAAAGCTCCGAGTTCCTTCAAAAAAATGTGTTGACCAGCTGAGCAACTATCGACTCTTCAAGAAATACTTTTTTTAATATTAGTGTTCTGTCTGACGACAGGTCCATATGAACAGGATCCTTCCATCCTTTTCTCGGACTGGGACCTGTTCATATACGTTCTTGGCAGATGATCCAGAAGTGATTTGCCATTGCCTTCTTCTGTGTGTAAATGGAGTAATTGTTGGGATGCCACAGAG